ATTGGAGAGAATCTTTTCCAGCTATAAATCAGATAATTAATATCCAGAATATACAAAGAACAAAAAAAACCAGAGTCAAGAAAACACATGACCCAATCAGAAATAGGCTATGGATTCAAACATAGAGCTCTCAAGAGAGAGAGAGAAGGGAAGGGGTGAGCTAAGAAATATCTTTAAAAGTTTTCAATATCTTTAGCAATTAGATAAATCATAATTAAAATTTCATCTTACCCCACTCAGAATTACTAGGATAAAAAAAAACAGCTGATAAGTGCTTCCAAGGATTCTGGGAGAGAGAGCCCCTCATTCACTGTTAGGATTACAAACTGGTGCATCCGATTTGGAAATCAGTGTAGAGAATTCTCAAAAAGCTAAATGTAGATCTAATATGTGATCTAGCTATACCACTCCTTGGTATATTATAACCCATAAATAGTTGCTTAACTATGTTCATTGCCATTCCATTAACAGTATCTATAACATGGAAACAACCTAAATGTCCTTCAACATATAGTTAATGAAAATGTGAATATATATATATAATATATATATATATATATATATATATATTTATATATGTCAGCTATTAAACAAAAAAGTATGAAATTTTTTAGGTAAATGGATAGAGATATTAAAAACATCCTGAGAGGGGTAACCAGACCCCAAAGACAAATATTGTATATTTTCTCTTATTTATGGTTGTTAGCATTTAAGCCTTCTATATGCATATTATAATCTATATAGCCTCAGAGGTTAGGGTTCAAGAAAGGGACCGGCATGGAGAAGAGGATGCCCCAAAGAAAAGGAAATAGAATACATAGCTATGGAGAGACAAGTGGGAGGTTGGAGTGGGAGAATTAATAGTGGGGGGTGGATGAGAGTGATAAGATACAAAATATAGGGAGGAACAACTAACACTAAAAGCCATTTGAGGGGGTCATATAGAAACTACTACCATAGAAGCTTCCTAAACTATATACTTACATGAATGAAATATAAATGGAGTCACTAAGTAATGAGGGAGACAATGTCCCAACTAGACATCCTTTGCCACCATGTGAAACCTCCAGAACCAGGAACGAGTTATATCTAGTTGAGTCTTTAGCAAAACGGGCCCCAAACATCTCAGGCTATTCTCATGGCTCTTGGTTGCTCTTCATAAACTGATGTTAAGGCCCTACTGCTGAAGACAACACTTACCATATCTCATCGAACAGGGAGAAGTCAAGCTAGTACCTAACTAGTGCTTTTACCCCTACTGGCTAGTTGTTCATGGTACTGGAAGATAATCTGCACTTTACCAGAGGAGAAAGGTAACCATCACCTCAGCTATAAGCCCTGCAATCAACAACAGTGACCTGCCTTCAAGCTATACTGGTACAATAGGGGCACAGATGACATGGGAGAAATCAACCACTGTCTGATTGGATTTAAGGCACACTCCATGCTTGACATTGTTGCTTGGGTGGCTATGACCCTCAGACTGAGTAGGTCGTGGGCCTAGGGGAAAACCAAATACTACTGTTTTGCTAAAGAAACATAGGAACGAAATGATTCCTAGGCATTCTACTATACCCATAGACCAGTGCCTCACTCAGTCATCATCAGAGAAGCTTCATCTTGCTGGAGATGGAAACTAACACAGATACCCACAATTGAACAACATGCAGAGAGAGGCTTTGGAACATTAAGTCCTAAATGGCATGCCTTCATCAAGGCTCAGGGATCTATGCAGAAGAGGAGGCAGAAAGACTATACCAGCCAAAGGGGATGGATGATTCCAAAGAAATGGTGTCTTTCAAATACAACAGGACTGATACATGAACTCATGGAGACTGTGGCAGCAAGCACAGGGCCTTCACAGGTTCAAGCCAAACTGGATCTCAGTGCTGAGAGGAGAGTGGACACAGGATACCACCCCTAACCAAGAAGCTATCTGCAATTGACTCCATCTTACAAAGGAAAAATTAGTTTTCTCCTATGGAGTCTCACTAAGTATATTAGCAACACTTAAAGGTAGGCCTCATACCTAGCAGTAGATATATAACACAAAATCACTCAATGGTATTTTTGTACTTTTGGATTCAAATTGCTTTGTTGAGAATTTTTTGTCATACTGCTATTTTGCTTGCATATTATAGTTTCTGATTTTGTTTTTATGAGAGGGGTGTGTGTGTGTGTGTGTGTGTATACTCTTTGTGTTTTTAAAATTCTGGTTTGTTTGTTTTTGTCCATTTGTTCCTTCACTTTCTAAAGAAAAAAGGAAAGAAAAGGTGTAGAGTTGGTTGGATGGGGAGATAGGAAGAACTGGTAGGCGTGAGGAAAGTGAGAACGTTGATCAGAATACTGTCTATGAAAAACTGTTTTCAATGGGAAAAAAAGAAAAAAGGAAATAAACTTTTGGAAACCGGTTTTATTTATTTTATTTTGCTTTTAAATGGCATTCCTTTCAAAACACTGGGACAAAATCTCTCATTTAAATACATACATGCACATGAAATTTCACTGCCAAAAATTTCATAGCAAATTCTGTTCATGTTTTACATGAGTGGAAATAAATAATTATACTCTCATTTCTTAAATTTCAACACACCTCATTAAAAAGTCACCTATCTTTCAAGCTAGTATCTTTATTCCAACCTTGATCTGACACACCTCAAAGTAAAATAAATCTTAGCTTCACATTGGTAAATGAATGAACTCAACAATTGTCAGAGAAAATTCCTTAGTAATCCTGGGAGCTCCAGAAAGACTCAGTAATTACACACAATTAAACAAAACATTATTTTGAACATTTCACTTTGACTCAGGAATCAAGGAATATTGATGTAAGTTTTCTGTAAACTACCTGTGAGTTGTGCTGAGTGGCTAAATAAGGGTAACTGTTAGATTTTCTTGAAGGTATAAATACCTAAGACAAAAATCTTAGGAAAGTATGCAGAATTGTATGCACAGGGCAAACAGTTTTTAAATATGAAAACATTATTGTTGGAAGCAACTGGAAATGACATACAGCCCACTGATAAGGACACAAACATGTGCAAACATTTCCATTTTTTGTTTCCATATCTGATGTTTTTAAAAGGTATGTTGCAGAGAAATGAGGACAGGATGCTCTACTCACCCAGTTTTGAAACTTTAAGAATTCTTCAAAGCTCTTTGGAGGCTCTGGGGGTTTCTAGTGAAACAAAATCAGTCAGTGCCATTAATTCTAATTGTACTTAACACACACAACACACTTAAGCAAATGTAATACTTAAGGTAGAATTTTTAGAGTTGTAAGGTATTATAAAACATTCATTTGTGTACTTTGCAACGTCTGGGTATTTTGAAAAGGGACAAAGATAAGTGTTTAAATGCTGTCTTTACAAGAAACTCCACCGTCAATGTTGCCGAATGCGCTCATTTCAAATTCCAACAAGAGTTCCAAGATATTTTGAGTTATTGTGGACTGTATCCATAATAAACTCAGAGCCAGAAATATAATAAATATTCCTCTGTTGACAAGAAAGCCACAGGAAATTGTGAGTGTACGATAGAGGCTTCAGGCTAACAATTCATAATCCCAATTTTATTACGTAGTAGTTTCTCTGGGCATTGACAATGTACTCAACAATAGAATAATTTCATCAAGATGAAACCTGAGTCCTTGTCTTAGAGACGTTGTAGCATTCCTCCTTCTGCTTAGATACTTCCCCATCTAAAACTCTCTCTTTCCAAGTCTTTCTGGGCCTGTGTAGCTCTCAATTAAAATATCAAGTTAAAAGTAACTTTTAATTGGAAGTTTGAAAATTCAAGGCCAATTAACTACCCTGTTTTAAAACAAAATATCCCACACAAACACAAAAACAGAAAGTCACTTTTTTTCCCCAAGAAGGCTTTACCCTCTGAACCTTACAAAGTTTCTTCAGGGTGACACTGAGCGATTGGTGTCTCTAGAGAAATAGAGACTATATACATTGTGGTTGAATCACATAAATAATATACAGTGGCTGTCACAAGTCTGTAAGTATTTCATGAATAGGTGAGTAGATGCATGGGAGAAGTATCTAGGTATTTGAAAAATTCTAACATGCTCGAGAATGAAAATACAGTGAGGGAGAAAAAGAGAAAGAAGAATCCAGAAGTCTAATGCCTCCATAGCTATCATGACATGGCTGAAAAGAATGAAATCACATTTTAATTTACTAAAACACTCATTGCACATTCACCTATTCAATGGGCCAGTTTATAAAACCACAGGGCTATACTTTGTAAAACTAATTACACATTTGTAGTTAAATGGAATATTTCATGCTCTTAAAAATTATTTAAATATATGAATATCAGTAAACATACATTTAACAAATGATAGTAAAATAAATAATGTAGGTAAAACATTATACAAAATTACAAGAATAAATGAAGTCAAGTATAAGGAAAACATGGAACTCTGGAACTAAGAAGATTGAGAAAGAGTTATGAGGGGCATAGTAAACAAAAGGCTTAGAAATAAAATAAGTGAAATAAATTTAAGTGTTTTGTTTTCTTTTAATGGTTATCAAATTATTTCAATCATAAACTGAAAATAATATCACATTTTACTAGACAGGAAATAGAAAAATGAATTGAAGGAGTTAAATTTGCATAAGAAACTTTTAGTCAACTGCAATATGAAATTCACTGTCTGGAATAAAATGAATAGGAGGTAAGGAACGAGAAGTTAAATGAACACCTATTTTCATAGAAGTAGAGTGCTGCTCTGTAGAAATAATAAGAAAAAAAACAGGTCATATAAAAAGCATTCTTTTTTAAATGTTAATGAAGTCCAGAAGATACTGATAACCATGATGGGTCAAGGTTATAAGACTTTATTCCATACTTATCAAAGCAGGGCTCTTCTCAGCACCAAGCTCAATGCAACAGCAGGGCAAGCCCATGAAGCCAGCCCTGCTGATGGCCTGAAATTCAGACAGAACATACTCTCTATAAATAAGCACAGATTCACAACAGTTCCTTACCTGAGGTATAGGCTTCTGTATCCACTGAATCTTAGCTTGTTGGCCTGCCATGGTGGAATAAACATGGAGATGAAGAGAGATCAGCTGGGCCTTAGCAATCAGTATGAGCTCAGGGAACAAGCTGGAAAGACACCCAAATGCAAAAAGCAGGTGACTTAAATAACCACTCTGTGTCACTTTCAAGCCTCACTTATGAATGCTGTCAATAAAGTCACAGTGGAGGAAGATTATACACAAGGAAAGCTGCACAGGCTGGTACATTCTTACAGTCTTGAATTTCAGAGCCTGAGAGAATTGAAAAAAAATCAAGTGTCACTCCAAACTTCTCCTAGCTCAAATATCTAGAAAATATAAGAAGTAATTAGAAGAGATTGGAGGTATAGTTAATACCAAATAAACTCAATCCAATTGTGGTTACAGTTAACCCTAAATCTCAACTCAAAGAAGATTCTAGATCAGCCTTTCCCTCTAAGAGTCTGGACCAGGCTTTTACTCTAAGGGTCTGGATCAGACTTTCACTCTAAGAGGGTTCCAGAATAGTCTTTTACTTTAAAGCCAAATAAAGAAACATGCCTGTGCTCTCCAAAACTAATGACAATTAAATCTCAGCTGCTTTCCACAATGATTATTATGTTCAACAGTAAAGCAATACAGAACAACCCAAGGAGGAAAAACAGACCCACAATGTAGGGAAAATATTTTCAATGTAAGTTGGGTACCTAGGAAAACACTAACTGTAATAAGCAGACAAGGACTTAAACTACTATAAAGATATTAAAGATTTTATAATATATATTGAATAACAGTACATGAAGAAGATGGTGGCACAGACCTGTAAATCCCAGCTACTCAGCAGACTGAAGCATGATGGTTCCAAGTTTGAGGGCTTTTTAGGCAGTTTAGTAAGACCCTGACTCAAAACAGAAATGGAGCAGCCTCTGCTCAGGACTTTGGATTTAACCTCTATTTCCTAGATTAGGCTCTCTACATGAGGCTTTTCTGGATGAAACAAGAGTGAACAGAACTCTTCTGAATAATTGGGGCCTACTTGTGAGTAAAAGACACAGAGTTAATCTTTTTTATTAATGTAGCATGACCACATTAATTGCTATCATACTGAGTAAGACTTTCCTCATACAGATTTCATGTAACTGTAGGAAACAAAACCAAGAGCCCCAGACTTCTGTTCTTTGCATTATAGCTATAAGAGGCACCCATGCTGTCTCATGTAATGGAAGTCCATGGTTCTACTGTAATACTGCATAATATGATCAAAGTTTTGTTTGCCTGTTCTACTTTTAGGGAACCCGAGTCACTTCCTACTTGTGTGTTACTCCTTAACATGAACATTCTTATTTATTTTTTTATTTTTACATCCCTAACCCAGTCTCTCTCCACTTCCCCTCTTCCCCTCTTCCCCTCTTCCCCTCTGCCTCAATCCAGTCCTTTTGTTTCTCTTCAGAAAAGGGCAGGCCTCCCAGGGATATCAACCAACCATGGTATATCAAGTTACAGTAACACTAGGCACCTCCTCTCCTATTAAGGCTGTATGAGGCAACCCAGGAGAAGGAAAGGGCCCCCAAAACGCACAACAGAGTTAGAGACAGACCATAATCCCACTGTTAGGAGTCCCACAAGAAGACCAAGATACAGAAGTGTAATATATATGAAGAGGACCTTAGTCAGTCCCACACAAGCATCCTGGTTGTTGCTTCAGTCTCTGTGAGCCCCTATAATCCCAGGTTGGTTGATTCTGTGGACCTTGTTCATGTGGTGTCCTTGACCCCCTATGACTCCTGCAATTCTTCCTCCCCCTCTTCCTCGGAATTTACAGAGCTCTGTCTCTACATCTGTATCAGTTGGTGGGTGAAGCCTCTCTGATGATGATTGAGCTAGGCAATAGTCTATGAGTATAGCAGAATACTAGGAATCATTTCATTGACTTTTTTCCTGGGCATTTTTTGTTCTATCCTAGATCTCTGGGCTAACCTGACTCTGTGTCCTGGCACTCCAGGCATTGTCAAGGATGATTTTCCTCTCATGGTATAGGTCTTAAGCTGGACCAGTCATTGGTTGAACACCCCCACAATTTCTGCATCACCTTTACCCCAGCACATTTTGTAGGCAGAAAAAACTGTAGGGCAAAGGTGTTATGCTTGGTGTCCCAATCCCTCCACTAGAAGTCTTACCTGGTTACAGGAAATTCAGTTCAGTTTCCATATCCCTCATTACTAGGAGTCTTAGCTAGGGTCATCCTCATAGATTCCTGGGAGTTTCCATTGCACTGGGTTTCTAGATTGTCCCCAAGATGTCCCCAGATTCCAGTTGTGTCTCCCAGTACTCTCTCCCTCTTACTCCGTCACCTGATTCCTCCTGTTCCATCCCCATTCCCCTATCCAACAACAATTGTCTATTCCAGTTCCCCTTCACAGTGAGATTCATGCATTTCCCTCCATTGAGCCCTCCTTGTTACTTAGCTCTTTTGGGTCTGTGGATTGTAGTATGGTCCTCCTTTACAGCTAATATCCACTTATAAGTGAACACATACCATGTTTGTCTTTCAGGGTCTGGGTTACCTTACTCAGGATGATCTTTTCTGGTTCCATCCATTTGCCAGCAAATTCTTTACGTCATTGTTTTTAACAGATAAATAATATCTCATTGTATAAATCACCACATTTTCTTTATCAATTCCTCTGTTGAGGGACATCTAGGTTGTTTCCAGTTTCTGGCTATTGTGAATAAAGTTGCTATGAACATAGTTGAGCAAGCATCCTTGTGGTATTGTGGATCATCCCTTGGGTATATGCTTAGGCATGGTATGCTTAGCTGGGTCTTGAGGTAAATGGATTCCCAATTTTCTGAGAAACCACCACATTGATTTCCAAAGTATCTGTGTTATGATAAATCTTTCCACCACCCACTTGAGTCTGCCTGCCACGTAGATGGCCAAAATAATATACAGAGACTTTTATTAGGTACAAATGTTGCTTGGCCAATGACTAGGATTTCTCATCTACTAGCTCAGTCTTAATTATCATAAATCTATATATTTTATAAGATTTATTGGATGCCTTCCGCTGACATCCTCATCCCTGGGATCACATGGTGGCTCCAAGCAGAGAGCAGGAGGAAGAGTGAAGGGGAAAGGAAGCACTTCCTGCTTGTCCTTGCTTAAATATGAGTCTCCCTGCCATGTCACTTCCTGCCTGGATCACCACTTCTTTACTACATTTCTCAGAATCCTCCTTGACTCCTAGTTCCATCTAACTTGCTGCCTCAGTGGCCAAACAGTACTTTATATTCAACAATCAATAAGATGAACATACACAGAAGTACATTCCCCATCATAGATGTACAAGTTTGCACTCCCACCAGCAGTAGAGCAGTGTTCCCCTTGTTCCACATCTTTGTCAGCATGAGCTGTCACTTGTGCTTTTGATTTTAGCCATTCTGACAATTGTAAGATGGAATCTCAGAGTGGTTTTGATTTGCATTTCTCTAATGGCTAAGGATGTTGACCATTTCTTTACACATTCTCCTCAGCCATTTTGAGATTTCTCTGTTGAGAATTTTCTATTTAGACCTGTACCCCATTTTTAATTGCATTATTCAGTTTGTTGGTGTCTAGTTTTTTGAGTTCTTTATATATTTTAGATACCACCCTGCTGTCATATGTGGGGTTGGTGAAGATCTTTTCCCATTCTGTAAGTCGTCAAATTATCTTTTTGACAGTATCATTTGCCTTACAGAATCTTTCAGTTTCATGATGTTCCATTTATTGTCAATCTCAGGCCCTGTTTGATTAGAATTCTGTTCAGGAAGTTGTTTCCTGTGTCAATGCATTCAAGGCTATTTTACACTTTCTGTTCTGCCAGGCTCAGTGTATCTGGATTTATGTGGAGGTTTTTGATCCACTTGGACTTTAGTTTTGCTTGGAGTGATAAAAATGTATCTATTCACATTCTTCTACATACAGACATACAATTATACCAGCACCATTTGTTGAACATGCTTTATTTTTCCCCATGGTATCATTTTGACTTCTTTGTAAAAAAAAATCCAGTGTGCATAGGCATGTGGATTTATTCTGGATTTTCCATTAATTCCATTGATCATCCTGTCTGTTTTTATGCCAATACCATGAAGTTTTTATTCCTATTGCTCTGAGTAGGACAGCTTGAGATCAGGGATGGTGATACCTCCAGAAGTTCTTTTATTGTACAGCTTTTCTATTTTGCTATTCTGGGATTTTGTTTTTCTTATCAAGTTGAATAATGTTCTTTCAAGGTCTGTAAAGAATTGTGTTGGGATTTTAATGGGGATTTCATTGAATCTGTAGATTGCTTTTGGAAAGGTGACCATTTTTAATGTATTAATCCTATCAATCCATGAGCATGGGAGGACTTTCCATCTTCTGATATCTTCTCCAATTTCTTCCTTCAAAGACTTGAAATTCTTGTCATACAGGTCTTTCACTTGCTTGATTAGAGTTACCCCAAGATATTTTATATTATTTGTGGTTATTTAGGAGGGCTACTTTTTTTTCTTTTAGTTATTTTGTATCCAGCTACTTTGCAAAAGTTGCTCATCAGTTGTAGGAGTTCCCTGGTAGAATTTTTGGGATTATTTATATATCCTACCATATCATCTGCAAATAGTATACATTGACTTCTCCCTTCCCAATTTGTATTCCTTTGATTTCCTTTAGTTTTCTTACCCTGCTAGCTAAAACTTCAACTACTATATTGAGTAGATACGGAGAGAATTGTCTTCTTCTTGATTTTAGTGGAATTCTTTTAAGTTTTTCTCCATTAATTTGATGTTGCCTGCATTATGTTTAGGTATGTTTCTTGTATCTCTGATCTTTCCAAGTCTTATCAAGGGATGCTGGATTTTGTCAAAGGCTTCTCCCTCATCTAATGAGATGATCATGTGATTTTTTCTTCCAGTTTGTTTATGGAGTGGATTAACTTGACAGATTTTCATATGCTAAAAATATCCCTGCATCATTAGGATGAGGCCTACATCTTGGTGGATATTTTTGATGTGTTCTTGGCAAATTCAGTTTGCCAGTATTTTGCATCTATGTTCATCAGGGGAACTGGTCTGTAATTCTCTTTCTTTGTTCAGTCTTTGTGTGGTTTGAGTATCAAGATGAATAGCTTCATACAAAGAATTTAGCAGTGTTCCTTCTATTTCTGTTTTATAGAATAACTTGAGGAGTATTAGCATTAGCTCTTCTTTGAAAGTATGTGCTAAAACCATCTGACTCTGGGCTGTTTTTTTGGGGGGGGCGGGGGAGTTTGGAGACATTTAATGACTGCTTCTATTTCCTTGGAGGAGGTTATAAATGGTTTATCTCATCTTGATTCAACTTTGGTAAGTAGTATATAGCAAGAAAAAACTGTCCATTTCTTTTAGATTTTCCAATTTTGTGGAGTACAGGTTTTTTTTTATGACCTAATGATTCTTTGGATTTTTTCGGTGTATATTGAACTGCTCCACTCTCTAGAACAGTCTTGTTAATGTCTTTTGGTGGCATACAATCTGTAGCTAGGAGTGAGATGGATAGGTCAGCTGTAGTGAGTACTGCCAAAGAGACTTCCAAATGGTTGAATTCTGATTTTCATTTTCAACAGAAGTATATGAAAGCTTCACTAAATAATTCTTACTAAGAATCTATCATTTAAAAATATTTCTGATACCCTTGAATTAATTGGTACAGGAGACCACTTCCTGAACATTACACCAGTAGCACAGACATTGAGGTCAACAATTGATAAATGGGACCTCCTGAAACTGAGAAGCTTCTGTAAGGCAAAGGAGACAGTCAGCAAGACAAAACGGCAGCCCACAGACTGGGAAAAGATATTCACCAACCCCACATCTGACAAAGGGCTGATCTCCAAAATATACAAAGAACTCAAGAAGCTAGTCCCCCAAACACCAAACAACCCAATTAAAAAGTGGGGTACAGAACTAAATAGACAATTCTCAATAGAGGAATCTAAAATGGCTGAAAG